ACGTAGGGAGGAACGCACGCAAGGAGTGGTTCGACGAAGAGGAGGACGACGGCGTAGATTGGGAGTTGTATGGAGACGGTGAGCAGTAAGTAGTCGAATGGGACTTCGACTCTGGTAGGGGGGTAATGAAACATTTGTCTTTCCGTTCTATTCCTTGTACTACTAGCGCCCATACTGGCGCCTGTCTTAGCGCTCACCCGCAGGTTGAACATTATGTAGCTTACATAATGGGGTCCGTGCGCACTTCGTGCCTGGTATCGTACCACTACGTTTCTTTCTTCACTAACACGACCACATAGACACAATGGTCCGTGCGCAGTCGGTACTTGTATAAGTAGTTGTACCATTAGTCGGTCGAACCCTAAGTTCGACCTGGTTATTCATTCAAGTCTCTGCTCCTCCTCGCTTGGGGTAGTGGTCATTCTCGACTTCCTCGCTCGATCTTCAGGACGACGCACTGTCCATAAGTCCTCGCTCGTTGTCTACGAGTCAGGCATCAATATAGGAGTATAGACCGTTGTATCAGCATCCACTGGTAAACCATAGTAGAGCGCAACTTCATGTTTTGTATGAATAGATTAATCACATGTATAATTGCCTAATATATAATCTTGATCCGAGGTTTATGCAACTAGTGAGGAGGTGAACTCACCAGCAAGAGGAGTGCAAAACCCAAATTAGCCACACCATTGGAGCACACTCCAGGGACCCCGGAAAGTGGGTAATGAAGGCACCTTCTATAAGCAGATGCATTAGGTGATTGACATCACCCACATCTCTAAGTCAAACTCATGTTGTGAGTGGCCGGTGCATTCATTGATACATGCAAGGAACATATATATTCTCTTTGAATACGCTGTATATAGTACTAAGCTGTGTATTATAAGTTGTATTAGTATCATAGCAGTCATTGTCTCACACATTTGGTTAGTCATGCATCAGTACCATCTGCTGTGCCCAGGTGCAAACATTTCAGTTGACATGGCAACATACAGGTGCTTGCAGCTACACCGGGTTGTGGGACATATTTATGAGGTATCTGGAATACCCAAGTGCCACTCCTCATCATTAGCATCTCCAAAGTTTGGTCCTGAACCCAGTCCTGAACTACAAGCCAACCAAACCAAACCTAGGTTCAGGTTTGGTCAGGTTCAGGTTTGGGCATTGGGGCAGCAGGTTCATGTCACAACTTGGGGTCAAGTGACAGGGAACAAGCAAACTAAAAGGCTGTGGGCGTTCAACTTAGACTCACTGAAGCAATGGTGAGCAATGCTCAAACCTAAGGCAATGTCGTGACTTGGGGTCAAGTGACAAGGAACAAACAAACTCAAAAGGCTGGGGGTGTTCGACTGAGTCTCACCAAAGTGATGGTGAGCGATGCTCAAACCTAAGGCTAGGGACAAGATAGTATATTAGTTAGTGAAGTAAGAAAGAATACAAGGGAGGTGTCATGAGTTGGTATGGTGTCTAGCCGTTTTTTAATTTTTTCCTTTTCACGGGCTCGAACCCGCAACCTCTGTACTATACGCTCTGCGCTCGAATGGACAAGCCTCGCCGGCACATCACGTTGCCATGTAGATAGATTAGATTAGATAGGACAGCAGTGCACGGCACAGCTCAGGCTCTGCCAACACAGCCATGATGACTCACCAGCCCCCGGGGCTGCGTCAGCATGCTGTGCACGGACCAGCTGCGCACAGACCAGCATGCACAGCCTGCCCTTATCTTCCCCTGTATATAACCCGGCCTCTGCTACCCTAGGGACCTCAGCTTCGACCTCTTGTCCCTAGGTCAGTAAGCCCTCCCTTGTATTTCCTTCTTACCTTAACTAATATATTCACTTGTCCCTAGGCTTAGGTTTGAGCATCACTCACCATCACTTCAGTAAGACCCAGTCAAACGCCCCCAGCCTTTTGAGTTTGTTTGTTCCTTGTCACTTGACCCCAAGTCGCGACATTAGGCCAAAACTCCCCCTCGCTGCTGGTATTCACATGCAACTCACTCATTTCCACTTCCTATAGGTTGGGTGGTGCGCACCCCTAATGTATCTTACTATACATAGATAACCTACAATACATTGCCACCACTCAGGAAATGAACTCTTCAGTACCTGCACTTCAGTGGGCGGTACTTGCTCTCACAGACACGTGGACTAGGTTCCTGCTGCATACTAGCCAAAAGCAGTACTGGGTCCCATGTGAACTGTGAATCCTAGTGTTATCTTGGGCACCATAGGTGTAAGCTAGACAATATGGCCTTTGTAGTATGCACACCTCCCCTTCCTTTCTTCCTCCATCGTGGCTGCCTATCAAGGCTTTACCCATGCCTTCAACTCACAGGATCTCGTTGACATCTACATTACCGATGGTCCCACTGCTCTCATCATTGCCTGTGAGCAGCAGCCTTGCCCCCACCAAACACCTTGATCAATCGAGGAGGATTATGAGCACTACAAAGCCATCCGAAGGGCCCAACATCCACTCAGCCCTCGCAGCACTCTTGCATTGTGATCTGCGTCCCGACATTCCCAGCCTGTCTCTCCCAGCTCCTGCCTACCCCAACTGGTTGCTGGTCCAAGTCAAACACAAGGAACCGCCGATCTCCCTGCAGACCCTACTTCAGAGCCAGAGTCTGAGGAGAGTGAAGAAAGAGTCTTGGAGTCTGAGTCTGCAGTTCTCAGTCAGGCTGCATTGCTGACCATGCTCCCCTCCACATCAGCAGTCCCTGACATACATCACTTCATCCCCGGGCTTCCTTCAGTGCCTCCATCGCTGTTGCCACCAAGAGGCCACTTGTGCACTCGCTCCCATGAAGTTCACCTCGTGGATAGCCACCACCACTGCCTCTGCCCCTGGGCTGTCCTCCGTCCCCCCTGCCACTGGTGATGTCGACCTCCGTACCTTCTCCTCCTGACAAGGAGACATTAAAATTCCTCCTCCCCCTGTGATATGATGGGAAAACCATCTTCGAATGTAACCAGTTCATTTCACAATTGTTGATCTACCTCCAGGTCAACACTGCCCTGGCCACTGTTGAGCTCCAGGTCCAGGTAGCACTAAGCCTGCTCAATGGTGATGCATGCACCTGGGCCACCCCAATCTTCGCCCAGCTCGCATCCGTTACAGTTGGGGTGCAGGGGGTGGTGACACCCTTCACAACTCTCAAAGATTTCCTCACAGTGTTCAAAGGCCATTTCAGTAATCTCGATAATGCCACAGCAGCACAGGTCGAGCTCACCAAGCTCTGTGGTGACAAATCCCTGCATGAGAAATGCACTGCTGCGGAATTCTCCACACTGCTCAAGGGTCCGGTGGACCATTCTGGGTATGGTGACCTGGAACTCCGCAACAAGTACCTGCACAGTATCCTGTCCCAAGTCTACCAAAAGATCGAGCTTGCAATGTTCACTATGTGGAAAGCTGCTGACAAGTGCGCCACAGAAGTTGAGCAAATACTTGACATTATCCGGGCCCGTCAGCCTGAGCTGAATAGTTTCTTCTTAGCGCAAGGAGGATGTGGCGGAGCATGTGGTGGTGCATGCTGATCACAAGGTGCTTCAGCCAGCATCAATGCGGCTGTCAGAAAAGGAGACTTTCCCAGCAGTTGCTTCAGCTGCGGGAAGCAAGGGTATCATTGTTTTGAGTGCCCCAGCTGTAAGGACAAGCCTTACACCAAACACGCTGATGTGCGGGCTACGGTTGCCTCAGGTTCCACCCAGGCCGCAACAAGCACCCCTGTCATGACATCACCCTCGGCAAGTATAAGTGCTGCTTCAGCGAACACCAAGCTGGCGGCCTTGATGGTACAGGTGAAGTCGATGCATGAGGAGTTGGAGCACTATTGGGCAATGAAGGAGGAGTCTTTTTGATCCAGTCTGCACTTCATGCCACACGAGTAGGACCTCGTAATAACAATTTGTACAATGTATTGGCGACTGAGAATGTGTATGAGTTGAGCCATGGGTCACAGCATTTTCACATCCCAGTACGCCTCAAAGGCAAAAGACAGCACAAAGACATAGTTGCAATGGTGGACAGCGGAGCCACCATGAAGTTTATCAACAAGCATTTCATCATGGAGAATCAAGTACAAACACAGAAATTGAAGGAACCAATCCTGCATTACAATATCAATGGAACACTCAACAAAGATGGAAGCTGATACAACGGTCTATACTCCTATATTGATGCCTGACTCGTAGACAACGAGCGAGGACTTATG